AGTCATTAACGGAATTACGTGTTATGAAAACTTGGTACCGTATGGCCGTACCTTGCTTAATGAAAATATCATTTGTATAAATGTACCCTTTTTAAATGTATGTATTATGTAATGTATCATAAACTATACCTATTATAGTTTATCAACCAAGGGTAGTACGTAGTAATGTATGCAAACTATATTCAAAATAGTTTATTAAATGTTTGAATGTATCGGTTGTACTTTGATTATAATCACTTGTTATTCTTTATATTTTATATGTCCAAATCCATTTGTAAACTGATGTGTGTCTAAATATTAAGATAAATGTCATATATTGCAATAACATATAATCACATAAAGATATACACCTTGCTCAACATGTTACAAGGTGAAATGAAATTGACAGCAACTTTTTGTTGTATACAGTTTATGTTACTGTTCTTAGAAAATTTATAGAAAAATCATCAAAGCTCTAAATCCAAATCCGCAAATTCTGAGAGTTTGCAATATGAGTCTAGTTTGTTCGTAAATTTTATCATGATTTTTAGTGATCTCTAACAGAGGTGCAAATGTTCATAATCACAGACTGGTCCGGGTTTGCCTCTGAAATGATAGGCAGTTTTGTAAAAATCACCATAAATTGTAGAAAAATCATATGGAGATGTGCAAGTAGCCATTTTAAAGCTAAGAGTTTGAACTACTTGCACCTGGAACAGTTTTGAAAACTAAAATATTTAAGTTGACCAAAACAGTCCGTGATCGAAGTTCATCTTTTCTGATGTAATCTGATAGAAAAAGTTTAATTGTGTTCTTGATGATTTTACTTGTATTCCCCCCTTAAAACTTAAGAAAAACATGTAAATGTAGGGGTATGAACTCACCTTATGTGATTTCAGTAGATGAAAGTGAGATAGAGGAAGTGTTCAACCCAAGAACACTAAGAAGATGTCTTGATGATTCGAAAATCTAACACCGAATAAGATGGAATTTGTGTAAGATATCAATGATTTGAGTAGAATGGAGTTTAATAATTATGTGAATGATGAAGATACTTACTAATTGAAGAAAGAAATCCCTGGAGAAAGCCTTGAAGTTCTTGAAGTTGAGAGAAAAGATGAGAGAATTTTGGAGAGTGTTCTTGGTTGCTAAGTGTAGAATGAAAGGGCTTTTAAGGAGAATGAGGAGAGAGGACCAATCCTCCAGCTCTCGATTGGACTTCGGAGGCTGGCAGAGATGTATGTGAGAGAGGTGGTATCGCGGAATGGTGTACCGATCTCGATTGTGTCAGATCGAGATGTACGTTTCACTTCCAGGTTCTGGAAGAAGTTCCATGAGGAGTTGGGTACAATATTGTATTTCAGCACCGCTTACCACCTACAGACGGACGGACAGAGTGAGCGGACGATTCAAACGCTCGAGGACATGCTTCGGACATGTGTATTGGACTTCGGAGGAAGTTGGGACACGTACTTGCCGTTGGATGAGTTTTCCTATAACAACAGCTACCATTCGAGTATTGGTATGCCTCCCTTCGATTTGTTGTATGGAAGGAGGTGTCGGACTCCCATCTGCTGGGGAGAGGTAGGGCAGAGAGTGATGGGTAGAACTGAGATAGTGCTTCATACGATAGAGCAGATACAGCAGGTCAGACAGAGATTGTTGACAGCTCAGAGTCGCCAGAAGAGTTATGCGGATAGGCGACGATCCGAGCTTGAGTTCCAGGTGGGAGACTTCGTACTCCTGAAGGTATCTCCTTGGAAAGGAGTGATCCGATTCAGGAAGAGGGGCAAGCTGGGGCCCCGGTACATTGGTCCTTTCAGGGAGACCGCGAGGGTGGGCAGGGTAGCGTGTCGATTGGAGCTACCTGCGGAGTTGAGCCAGATACATGATACCTTCCATGTGTCTCAGTTGAGGAAGTGTATAGCCGACGAGTCGGCGGTGGTACCATTGGAGGATATTCAGGTGGACGCGAGCCTGAATTATGTTGAGAGACCGATCGCGATCCTGGATCGAAAGATCAAGGTTCTGAGGAACAAGGAGGTACCTCTGGTTCAGGTCCAGTGGCAACATCGGAGAGGGTCTGAGCTGAGTTGGGAGCCGGAAATCGAAATGCGGGAGCAGCATCCAGAGTTGTTTGCAGAGCGAGACTTCGAGGGCGAAGTCTGATTCTAGTGGGGGAGAATTGTAACATCCAGATTTCCAGGTTAGTATTTCCATTATTTATTTTGAATAAAGAAGAGGGACTCGACGAGTTGGCGCCTAGACTCGTCGAGTAGGATCGCGACTGATGACTCGGATTAATGAAGGGACTCGACGAGTCCGCGCTGAGGTCAGAAACCCTAAATCCTCGGGCATGAGCCCTATTTAAGGGATCTTATGGCCCTCATTTGCGGCCACCTTCACCCTTGAGAGCACCAAGAGAACCAGAGAGCGTTGTGAGAGAGAAAGGAAGCCATATTCACCATTTCTAGTGTGATTTTGCAAGAAAGAAGGAAGGAGGGCAAGCTAGGCGGATTGTGGAGCTTAGATATACTTCCATTTGATCAGAGGAGGCTGTTGGAGGTATTAATCTATGCTCTTTCTCGTGTATATGGTGATTTATGTGAATCTAGGGTTTTCTTATGCCTTCTTTAGCTTGAATTCGAAGTATGTGAGGTCCCAAGGTGGAATGCTTCTTAGATCTGGACCTTAAGAGGTCCAGAGAGTTCTGAATACCCTGCTTTATGCTATCCCTTTAGAGATATGAACCTAGGTTGCTATTTTAGAATCCATTTCTTCAAAAGAAGCCTTGTGTGCGTTGCATGAGTGTCAAGATTTGACCTTTACGTGATTATTGGGCATGGGGAAGTCAAATCTATAGGTTAGAGAAGCATATCTGACCTCAGAAGGTCATTTGAGTGTTGCCATGGAAGAAACTCGCCGAGTCCATAAGGGGACTCGACGAGTCGAGTCGGGTTGCCCTGCGATTCGTGACCAGTGGTAACCCGTCGAGTGAAAGGTTAACTCGACGAGTTGAGTGAGGCCTTAGAAGATTCAGAGGACACGCATGGACTCGCCGAGTCACCCGAGTGCACTCGACGAGTCTGGTCAAAGTTGACCGTTGACTTGAGTTGACCTCAGTTGACCTTAGGGTTTTGGTCAGAATGGTTCTAGTGAGAGGTCAGGGAGGGGTAGAATGGTCTTCTACCCACTCCTTAGAAATGAGGACAAGAGTTGATTATAGATGTTATCATGATGATAGGAGGAGGCTAGATCGGGTATTCGAGCTCGGGAGGTTATCCGATATCGTACGAGGTGAGTCTTCTCACTATACTTTACCTAGAGTGGTAATATGCGTGACCGGAAGGTCTTATGTGCTATGAGGAGTATGTAATGTATGCTCTTATTTGATATGTATATGCTATGTTATGTTATGAGTAGTATGCAATGGACCGGAAGGTCATATGATATGGACCGGAAGGTCATATGATATGGACCGGAAGGTCAAGATGATATGGACCGGAAGGTCATTACGGGTAGGACCGGAAGGTCTACCAGGGCTGTGGGACGGAAGTCCCCTGAGACACATTGACCGGAAGGTCTTATAGCCTTGAGTGGCGTATGTGCGTATGTAGTATTTTGGGGAACTCACTAAGCATTTATGCTTACCGTTTTATATGATATGTGTTTCAGGTACTAGCGAGGATCGCGGGAAGGCGCCGGCATGATCCGTACACACTGAGAGGATTTATGTATTTGAGATCTTGGGATTTGTTTATTATGATAACATGTGATACAATGGATTTTTTTATGATATCTTATGAATGAAAGTATGTTTTAAAAATGAAACTTTTTTTTAAAAATTTACGTTGTTACATTAGGTTTGGAACTTATTTGTAAGAATAGTCGATTTAGAAATACGGTGGCAATCCCAATCCAAACCTGCCAACCTAACCCGAACTCAACCCAATAAATAGTAGGTTGGATTAAGATTTTGAACCCATTTAATTAAATAGGTCAACCTGTTTAATTAAAGAGGTCGAGTTAGAGTTGAAATTCATAACCCCTTTACAACCCACCAACCCTTTTAATATTTTTTAATTTATAGTTTTTTAGTATTATTTTTTAGTTGATCATTATATTTTGATTATTTTTTATTTATCAAAAACCATGGATTATTTGATTTTTAAGGGGTTTTTTGTGAAAATTTAAACATGTCAACCCGTGTTTAACTTGTTTAGTAAATAGGTTAGGTTGGAAAAACAATAAACATGTCAACCCAAATTCAACCCATTTACTAAAAATGTTGGGTTGGGTTGAAAATTATCAACTTGTTTATTTAAACGGATTGGGTTGAGTTTGGTGGACATTTTCAATCCATTTAATTAAACAGATCAACACATTTATGACCCAACCTAGCCAATTGTCACCCCTATCAAGAAACTAAATGACTTAATTTGTTAGTAAAAATCTCATCTTTGGTCTAGTTTGCAAAATTTCGAACTTTGTGAAGGCTTAGATCTAAAACCCCTAAATCCCCTAAATCATGTTCCCTTCACTTGTGATTATTTCATCTACAGTAAAAGAGGATATCAGTATTTGGTTCTTGAATTGTTGGTGGAACCCATTGATTCAATGAGTTTAGTAATAGATATTTTAGTGTTCTATTTTACTGGAGTTAATCTATATATTTGATCAAATTGAGATTTATGAAGCTTAAATGGGTGATGAATCCTTCATTAGTTCATCTACATCCTAAATTGACCATGGAATTCGTGTTATGATGTGATTTGAATGGAATTCTCATTGTCTATTGTTGTATCTATTGATATGTATCAATTTAAGAATAACAATTCGTTATATTTCATCTAAAGTTGTCAATGACCATATTAGATCATTTAAATAAATATATACATATATCCCTTGATGACAACATACCACACATAATCTTTGATGGCATATAAAACACAAATTAGCTACATAGATCAAATAGGCATATTATATTATAATTAACGCATATAAACATGTTCAACATCAAATAGTCACCAAAATCCATACCATTAAAACCAAAATATTGTCATCTTACACAAATTTAGTTAAACAAACAAATAGCACAACCAAACACCAAATCCAAAACCACCATTTACAACTCCCAACCAAAACCCTTAAATAAACCCTTCTACAAGACTAAGAAACATGTCAAAGTCAACTATTCGTGAAAAAAAGTCAACACTCGAAAATTAGGGTTTATAGAAAGTTAAAAACCCTTCTATAAAGTCAAAATATCATCAAACCTACTTTACCTCACAACACCAAACCCTAAAAAGGAAACCAAACCACCATTACTTGATATGTACCTAAAACCCTAAAATATATATATAATAAGATTGGGTTATTATGCACATAAATCACTCTTGAATTTGTCCTTTAAGCTTCTTCGTGTGATTTGATTCCAGGTGGCTTTTCTGTTCTCCCTCCTATTTAAAAATAAAAAAAAAATAGTGTGGTTAAGGATTTGTTTGGTAATGGTTTGATGGAATGGAATTGACATATTATGGGAATGGAATCTGGAAGAGTTGTTGCATAATGCATTCCATGATTATTTTGGTTGTGAGTTGTAGACATGTAGAAATAGAATGAATTTGTGTGTGCACTTTTTTATATTATATCAAGATACAAGTGTAAAAAAATTTGTGAATTTTTTTAAGGGTTTTATACAGAAAAATCTCATTATTTTGGGAAAATTTTTGATAAAGTCCTAAATGTCTTTTTTTAACAGGAAAGTTTCGTTATTATGGGAAAATCACATAATCTGTCATCTCCTGTTAAAATAAAATAAAAAAAAGGAATTTTTCGTTAATTTTGGGAAATTGTTAAATAATCAGGACTTTTCTGTTAAAAAAAAACATTTAGGAATTTATCAAAAAAATTCCCAAAATAATGGGACTTTTCTGCATAAAACCCTTTTTTTAATAAAAAAAAAAAGTAAAAAAATAAATACATCCCAGATATTAAAACAGAAAATATATATTCTAGTTATTTTTAGAGCCTAAAACTGAAATTTAATTAAAAATCATTAGTTTTTTTTAAAAAAAAAAAAAAGGCATCTGTCACTAAATATTATATTAATAAAAGTTTAATATCAGATAAAAGGAGTGAAAAAATTAATAAAACAGAAGAATCAAATTGGTTCAAGAACAGCCCATTCCATTCATTCAGATAACACAAAATGCTTTTTTTCATTCCGATGGAATGAACAATTCCATTCCTTCCATGATTGCTAAAAAATCATAGATATAAAAGTCATGCAAATATCCTATCAAAAAACATTCAATGGAAGGAATCACATTCTTTCAACAACCAGCCATTCCATTCCATTCCATCAAAACACTTTTTCCAAACGGAATGACCAATTCCATTCCATCCATGACTCCATCATACAGATATAAACCAGTCAAAAAAAAAGTTACCTGACTATTTTCAACAGTATTTTTACTACGAACAGATGTCACTTCTCGAATTTTAATAATTTTGTCAATATACACAGTAGTCTCCTTGGTAGAATCCCTCCTACAAACACAAAAAAAAAACTCACAAAAGTTATATTTTAATAATTATAAACCAATTTAACAATAAAGTATATAAAAAAATTAAAATATATAAATATACCGAGGGGTAATATCGTCCGGTTGTTTCTTCCTTTTCTTGTTACTCTGTGTTTGCTCCAACAAAGTACTTGCACACCTTTTAAGCCACCCAAAAGGAGCAGAAAGAGGAGGTGTTGACCCATTATTATTTAATTCATTTTTAAATGAATTAATTTCCACAATTTCATTTCTTTTTTGCAAATTTGGATCACATTCTTTAATTTCATTTTCAGTGATTTGAAAGCCAACACCTTTCACATCTTCTAGTTTCTTCAACTCTTCGATCTTTTCAAGAATCTCTTGTCTATCAGAATGTAAAAGTTCCCTCTGTTTTTCCAATTTTACCCTTTGGTCTTTTAACTGTTGTATAGAATCATTCAATTCAGCCCATTCTTTATCCCTTCTTTCATGATCTAAAATGATTTCTTTTCTTTCCTTTTCAAGTTTTTTCATTTCAATGTTGACTTGTTCAGCTTCTTTTCTTGCTGTTTCTTTTAAAGATGAAATGTATTCGAGTTCTTTTTTTTCTTCTTCAAAAGATTTTTCTTTTTCCTTTAAATAGCTTTCTACTTCTTCACGTTTCTTTTCAATACAATTCTCTAATTCTTTTTTCTGCATTTTCAATATCCAAGACAAAATCGGTTCTTTCTTTTTGGATTTTGGAGAACCAATCGGATCGTTCTTTTTCGATTTCTCTCATGAACTTTTCCCTATCGTTCGAAACGGTATTTACGTCTTTTTTGTATTGTTCCCGAATCATGTCTTTTTCCTTTTTTAATACATCGCGTTCTTCCTTCAAGAATTTCAAGATTGTAACTCTTTCTTCTGCGATTTTTCTCTGATTCCAATCTTAATTCTTCTCTTTTTTCATCGATTAATTCCCATTCCGTTTCAAATTTTGCTTTTTCTTTTTTTAATTTTTCTCTGCTTCACTTTCAAATTCGTGTTTTGAGCTCGAATCATGTCGATTTCCTCTTTTAAACCTTCTTTCCAAAATCATCAACTCGTTTGTTTCGTTTCTCATGGCTTCCACTTTCTCTTCTGCATTCAAAATTTCCTTGCTTCTTTCATCCAATAACTTTAAGGATTTTTGAAGATCGATTTTCATTTGATTAACTTCTTCTTTTTCTTTCTCCAATATACTTTTCTGCAGCTTTAACTCTCGTTCCACTTCAAGGACTGTTTTGTCTTTTTCCTCAACAGCATTCGTTTTTTCTGAAAGCTCCTTTTCCTTCTCACCAATGGCTCTCGCTTTAACCTCCAATTCATGCTCTTTTTCTGCAAGTAAATCCTCCCGTTGACTAAAGTCAACTTCCCTCAACTCTGAAGCCCTTCTTTTGTTCTCAAACGTTTCCTCCATTGCTTTGAGTTTTCTTTCTAATTGAGCTTCAAATTGGGAACTCTTCTCCTTCAAAACAGCTTCATGATCAGACAAAGCCTTTTTAACTCTCTCCTGAAAAAAATAAAAAAAAACAAATTTAGTAATTCCAATTTAAAATATATATATATATATATATATATCATTTGGAGTAAATTAAATAGTAACTCACAGATTCCTTGTTTGCAATTTCCTCTTGCTGTATACGCAACTCTTCATACTTCTTTTTTAACTCGTTTTCCTTATTTGTGATATCCTGTAAGCAATAAAGAATGAGTAGAGGAGTATAAGTTATTATAAAAAGAATAAAATATCTGAACAAAACCTCTTCTTTAGAATCCAAGGAGGCTGCTTTTGTATCAAGATTGTGTTTTTCTTCTTTTAGAGATTTACGTTCCTCTTCAAGGCTTAATTTTGAAGCCTGCAACTGCTTTTCATGGCTACTTATTTCCTCAATTCTACTTGAAATATATTCTTCCCTTTGATTTAACAAAGCTTGCCCCTCAAGTAATCTTTCTTGTGATTGTTGCACAGATTTCTGCCTTTCACATAAAGATTGTCTTTCAAAGAAGAATTTCCTTCTCTTTTGCTTCACACCTGTATCATATACATACAGAGCACCAAATATAGTTAATTCAGTGCTGGATAAGGCAAAAAGTATATATTCATAAAGATAAGATAACATACTCTGATTTGAATGAATTTATCTGTCTCCTAAGATCATCTTCACGTGCTTCAACTTCATGTAACTTTCTTTCAGAAACTCTTCGGTATCTAGAAGCTTCTGCATCCAAAGATTCTGCAGCTTGCATCTTTGAATTGGCTTCAGTCATCTTTTTTAAGGCTTCTTCCATCATTGTTCTTGCTTCAGCTAATTTAATTTCAGCTGCAACTTTTGCCTCAGCACATTCTGCACGCATCTCATGTAATGCCTTTTCAATCTAGAAAAAGAAAGATACTATTTTAGTGAAAGCCAATAAACACGTTATGAAAAGAAAACATTGTATGCGTACATTGGAAACACATTCTTTCTCTATTCCTAGAGCTTTTCAACTTCTCTTCCCTTTTCTTTGCTTCAGCTAAAGCTGATAAATGAGCAGCTTGGTTGCTCTTGAGTGTCATTTCAGCTGACTCTGCGGTGGATTTCATCTGTTCATAGCTCGCAACCCACTCTTTTTTTTCAATTATCAAAATGCCCATTTGATTTTGAAGGTTGTATATCTGCATCAAATTCACAGAAATAGATAAGACAATGATACCAATGGAGGAATCCAATTAATAGTTAACGTCCAAGTAAAAGAGGAGTTGGAAGGTTTTCTTGAAGATTAGGGTTTGTACGTTTTTCACAATACCCCTTTCGCTGCCCTAAAGATGACTAAACCTCCCAATTTATGTCGCAAATTAATTCAAGCTTTAAAACTCAATTATCACTATGCATTAATGGAATTCCTTCCAAAAAGAGAAAAAACAAAACACCTAGTTACCAAAGAATAACATATACGTCGAGCAGTGAATATAAACAAAGCCAAGAAGAATATTAATCAAGGTAAAAGGCAAAAGAGAGAGGACCTCAGCTTCGAGTTTAGCGATGTGAGCGATGAGTGAACCTTTATCCCTTCGCTTAATCGATTCTTCATCGAAGCCAGCTTCACGAAGACGCTTCCATATGGTTTCATCAGTCAAAGGGCTTTTCAAACTCAAAACCCTAGACGAATTGTTGGGTGTCGTGGGAGTAACTGCAAATCGCCCCGAATGAGGACTCGCCATCCGATCTGAAAACACTCAAACCTAAAACCGAGATCGATGATCTGTTCCACGATTCTCTTTGGATTTTGGTTTTTCGATCGACTTTTGACTCTTTTTGTTCACAGCTGCTTTGCTTTCAGCTTTTCGTTCCTTTATGATTTTTATTTCAAAATAAACATTCATTGCCAAACGACGACGTTTGTAAAGCGGTAAATAAATTCAAGACAAAACTTCAAAAATGGTCCCTGTGGTTTTCGAAAATATCAAGTTTAATCCCTAAGTTCAAAAAACCTCACAGATGGTCCCTGTGGTTTCAAAACTTTTAACATTTGGTCCTTCCGGCTCACTCCGTTAGCATTTCACCGTTAATTAAGGGGCATTTTTGTCATTTCACTACCTAGGGACCATTTATGAGGTTTTCTATTATTTATTTTTTTAAAATAAATAAATAAATATGCAAGGGGTTCCACCCATCTCTCTCTCTCTCTCTCATTGTGTGTTCATCCCAAGAAAACTCAAAAGCTTCAACTGTCTGGTCACCCCTAACCCCCCCCCCCCCCATTTCTCTCTCTTCGTTCGTCTCCTCCCCTTTCTCTCTTCTTCTCCATTCTTCTTCTTCCTCCAGAAAAAAATCCCCCCACTTCCCTTTTATCCGATCACGATTTTTAAAACCATGTCTCCAAAAGTTAAAGAACTTTCTTCAATTGGGAGACTGAGAGCTATTTGTAACCTTCTTTTGACTGTATAAGCATTATCACTTCGATCTAGCTCCATTCCAAAGACACATCCGGATTCAGTTTGAACAAAGGCTCGTCTTCTTCCTGTAAAATGTTTAATCCCTTCCATTTTAGTGTTTCCATGGTATTCTCTTCCTAAGGGAATGTTGAAAACAGCGACTTCCATTTGGTGTTGTCGGAGCTCACACGAGTTCCTGACGTAAGTCGTCGCCGGTACACCCGACTACTCGTCCGACTCTCCCTTATTTCTTCAATCGTTGGTCAAAAATTAGGAACAAGGGAAAAGAGTGTTGCATTCTCCTCTCTCTGTCACGCAGGAGACGTTTTTATTGATTTTCCGATTTGTGTTAAAAAAATGAACAATGGTTGTGGTTTATGGTTTGATGAGGCTCTTACAATGGAGAAAGAAGGGTGGTGTTACGGTTATCTTCTGGTGATTTGAACTTTGAAGTCGTCGTGAAAATCAGAACAGGTACAAATTCATGGAAGATTTGTCTTGGAGCATTTCTACGAGCAGTTGGTGTGTGCATTAAGGACTATACAATTAGACTTTGTTTTCACTTCTAGTTGAAATAAAAATTGATGTTGAATCCAATATGACAACTGAGAATTGGGTTTAAGATTGAATGATGGATCGAATATCAAACAAAAATAAGGAAAAAAGAAAGAAAAAAATGAGTAGTACTTTCTGTTGTGTAAGTTGTACTCTCCATTATCTTAGAACGCCTGTGATTACAGCGCTGGGAGATTAAGAACGCAAGAGGCCATTAGAAAGCTCAAATAATCGAATGTGAATTTCTCCAGGTGACAATGGTTGTGAAAGTTGGAAGATTCCTAAAAAAGATAGAGAGGGTACTTCGAGTCTAATGTTTTCAGCACAATAGTGTTAGCGTGTGATTATAGAGGTGCGATTATAAACATAGGTGTGGGAGACGAGGGAAACCTTAACCATCCAAGCTATGTGTTGTTGCATTTTCTTAGATTGTTGCAGGTTTTTTGTTGGGGTTTTAGTTAGAGGTCCAGAGAGAGAGAGAGAGAGAGAGAGAGAGAGAGAGAGAGAGAGAGAGAGAGAGAGAGAGAGAGAGAGAGAGAGAGAGAGAGAGAGAGAGAGAGAGAGACCTTATTTATTTATTTTAAAAAAAGAAAGTAATTGAAAACCTCATAAATGGTCCCTAGGTAGTGAAATGACAAAAATGCCCCTTACTTAACGGTGAAATGCTAACGGAGTGAGCCGGAAGGATCAAATGTTAAAAGTTTTGAAACCACAGGGACCATCTGTGAGGTTTTTTGAACTTAGAGATTAAACTTGATATTTTCGAATACCACAGGGACCATTTTTGAAGTTTTGTCTAAATTCAATTTCTTTTCGTTTTGGGGTCCGGATTGTTCAAAATTCAAATGAGAAGAAATAAATCTGGTTTTTGAAAAAATAATTGTAAAAATGATTCTTTTCTTAACCATCTATATCTCTTCTCTTTAATTTTTTTATTTTTCCCTATTGTAATTTGTATCGATCTCCTTGTTATATTTTTAGGACTTCCTCTTGTATCCATCTTGTATTTTTTGGGCTCCCAAGACAATGAGAAATACGTACACATTCTCCATTTTCTATGGTATCAGTTTTGAAAACAAAATTAATTTCCTAAACCAAAAAATCGGCCACCAACTGAAATCTTATTTATCAGCGTGACGAAACCAAATCAAACTCTAAGGAAGTCTTTCACCAATTCATCCGTTACACTTGGTTCCCGAAAAGAAAAAAAATGGGAAAGTAAAAAACAATATAATAAATAAATAAAAAGATATGAGAAATAAAAAGAATTCGTTTGGAAAAAATAAAAAGAAAATACGTATTTTATATGTTCTCAAGGAAAAGAAAAAATAAATTCGAGTTTTATTTTCAAAATTTAATTTATTTTCTTTTCAAACCTTCCAAATTGGATGGTGAATTAGGAGGAAATTCTTTTTCTTCTTTCTAATTTATCTCATTATATAAAACAATATTAAAGCCAAAAAGAAAAATCATAGGTTAGCACAAATTTTTCAGGAGTTGCATAATAGAAAAATGCTCATTTCTGTAGGTAGTTTCCGTCACAAAATCGCCACTAAACAGAGTAATTTACACTAAATTAACAATTATCATACTTCGTGACGAATTGCCAACGGATTCGTGAGGGATGTGTAACGGATTTCCAAATGATGTTTGACAGAATTTCGACGAATTTTCACTAAATTTACATTTAACGAGAAAATTTGAGACATATCTCGTGCTACCCGGTGCAACATAGTAGATCCGCCCATAATATAAAACGAGGAACATCAATTTTTTTTATTCTCGCTTTCATCCACTTCGCACTTCTCTCTTTAATCGAGACTCAGGAACTAAGCGTTACTACATCTACCCAAATGATATTCCATATAAAATACATGTGAACTATAAACCCTAGATGACAACCATGCTATTTGTCGTAATAGAAGAAAGACCTCCTATTTAAAAAAAAAACTGATTATTCTATTGTTAACTTCATAGCATACATGCACATGATTAAACTAAATTAACAACATGCTATTGGCCGTAATAGATGAAAAACTATTACAGATCCAGCCGGTTTATATATTCGGTCATTAAATTCATATTTTATGTTCAAAAAACACAATAAACTTTTATTATACACGATTTACCATTAAGTTAATTTTGTACAAATTTAGTCACCTTTGTATTTTCCGGTCATCATCAGTTTTCTATCATCTTCACCGGCCAACAAAATTCCAAAGAATAAAAGAAAACACAATTTTACCTATTTATTTTTTAAAAACATTACAAAGCGTATACCATCCTTATTATTCTATGCGGTGAAAATGCTACACCATCTGTTTACTACCACCAACATCTCTACTATCGTCGCTCAGACATCTCTCTCTCTCTCTCTCTCTCTCTCTCTCTCTCTCTCTCTCTCTCTCTCTCGTTTTACGAAAACCAATCTATCCCCACATCCCTCTATTCCCTTTTCATATCGAACCGTGCCACCGGGAGCAACCTTCATTCAAGGTTGCAAGGTGTTGTCTGTTGGTGGAGGTGGATGATACTGATGACTAATGGTGGTGATGAACAGTGGTGTTGGTTGCTAGAGGTCGATGGCAGCGATGGGAGGTGGACAATGTTGGTGGGAGTGAATGTTGTTGGTCGGAGAAGATAACCGAAAAATGTCTAATGATAATTGTGTAAAAAAAAATATTATCTGTCAAAATGATAGGTTTTAAACACTCGAGTGAACTTAAAAAATAATAATAATAATAAATTAGAAAATAAAAAGTAAATTTTACATGTTATTTTTCCTATCTTCGTCTTGAAATAAAAGGCAAGTCATATATAAAAAGAAAAAGTTTTTTTTTTCTTGTTTTATCTTGGAAGATAACATGAAGATGCATTTTCTTGTTAGCTTTTTAGCTTTAATTTTTTTTGAATTCCATCTTAATGGAAATTTAGCTTCTTTTTATAAAGAACCCTCCACTTCACTTCGGCCACTACTGTTCTCCATCGCCACCCTCCACCACCATGGCAAAACCCTTTTCCGATTCGCTCGCATTCTTATTCTCCCTCCTAATCATCTGCCTACTTTCATCGACGCCGGAATCTCGCCGGCCACCTCCGTTTCCCAGCAAATCCTCACGGCTTCTCAAAACCCAAAACATTCTTGTTCAGCTGAAGTACACTTACGAGACACGATACTTTCATCAGACTCTTGATCATTTCAGCTTCAATGATCTTCCCAAGTTCCAACAACGTTATCTCATCAACTCCGATCACTGGGTCGGCCCTAATCGTTTGGGCCCAATCTTCCTTTATTGCGGCAATGAAGGCGACATCGAATGGTTCGCTGTCAACACCGGCTTCGTTTGGGAACTCGCCCCTAGTTTCGGTGCCATGGTCGTCTTCCCTGAAGTAAAAGCCCTAATCACTCTACTCTACATCAATTTCTTCACTTGCAGCACTTTAAATGCATATTTCAGTCTATTTATTGATTCAATTTTATCAAAATATGCGTAATTTGATTTAGCATCGATATTATGGTGAATCGATGCCATATGGGAGCCAGAAAGAGGCATACAAGAACGCTTCTACTTTAGCCTATCTAACAGCCGAACAAGCACTTGCTGATTACGCTCTTCTCATCACCGATTTGAAGAGAAATTTGTCAGCCGAAGCGTCCCCTGTAATCTTGTTCGGTGGATCATACGGTGGAAGTAAGATCTTTTTCCAACAAAAATTAAACAATTTCAACAAAAATTAAACAATCTCATCAAAAGATTTGATCTTTATACATGTTTTCGGATCCTGGTTTTTGTTTAATTCAACAGTGTTGGCAGCATGGATGAGGCTCAAGTATCCTCATATTGCCATCGGCGCAC